ACATTTTTACTAGTCAATGATTAAATGTCTTCTTTTTTATAAAGTATAGCTTTTTATTGATAAAATAAAACTTATACAAATCTGCACATTTATGATTTCATCTTCCTGCTTTGTGTACCATTTCCTCAACTCCACACTCTCTGATAATCACTATAATAGTTTTTAATTGTCTCTGGGCCAAATTTTCCAAAACTAATTCCATAAATGTGTCAGCAAGTTTCTGGACCTGAAACTGAACTTGAGAAGTCCTTTTATCATCTGCATAATCCAATGAGACACATAATTTAAAATTCAAATTCTGTTTTCAACAAATGAGGAAATAATAACTTTCCATTATACTGTGTGACTAAAATTTGATTTTAATGAGCAGTTAATTAGATAATAGAAATCAGAAATTTCATAGATGCATTTTGAATTTCAGACACCACTATGATTTGTTCAGGATAGAGGGAAGTATTCCTACCAGGAAAATCACTGCTATGCCTCAGTGCCGAGGGATACCTAGAGCTAAATTCTAATTTTTCCTGGTAATGGAGAATAGGCAGCAAAGATCTCTCATATGCCACTTCATACCCGTTATTTGTTAATGCTTGCTTTTCTAGAGTAAAAGCTGTAGCACATACCAGAGGAATGTTGGGCACTGTTGCAGTGATGGTGTGAGTGGGCCCACAGAGGTCTAGCTGATGTGATGTCCTGCCCAGGGTTGATCGGGTGAGGCGGCAAGGTGAGTAGCCATATGGAGGAAAGAGGAATAGCCCTGACATTTATTAAGCAAAACCCTATGTTGGACAATTTGCATGTATTATCTCATTTATTCCTCTCTATAATCTTGCAAAAATAAGTTTTGATTGTGAACCTATATCATGTTTTAGTTCCCATAAATGATGGTGGATACCAGAACTGGAATGCAAACCCAAAACTGCATTATCTCCATGACACCTAACTTGTCTTCTCAGAGTTCAAGTGTCATGATGTACAGAATGCACTCATGTCCTCTGATTGAAGGACTCTGAGTTTTTGAGGTTGTGAATATGAAAATCAAATGAAACAGACATGTTAAAGCAGTTCATAACTGAGATGTGATAAGATGTGTATGCTTTAGGTTCAGGTCTCAAAGACTAATAAAGACCTAGATTTATTCTCTGCATTGTCATTAACTTTGCACTTACACAAATCAGCTTCTCTGACCAATTCTTTCTTCAGCTTCAATACTCCCTTCTTGGGAGTGTTGTGAGGATCAAATAAGACATTGTGTTCAATCGGGCTATTTTTTTTAAAGTCTCACCCGAGGATATGTTTTTATTGATTTTAGAGAGCAAGGGGGAGATGAGAGAGAGAGAGATCAATCAGTTGCCTCCTACACTCACCTCAACCAGGGATCAAAGGTTGCGCGCTGATTGGGAATCAAACCCACAACCTTTTGTTGTATAGGATGTTGCTTCAACCAACTGAGCCATCCACCAGGGCTTAATGGGCTTTTTTTTTTAACAGAAAGCATTATGCATATCTTTATTATGGATAAAGAATTATTAATTGAGCAGTAGTCCAATACTCAAATACCTATAGCCCAAGAATCATAATGACACCTTAAATTTTATCTCAACTATGGCTGCTTTAAGCTTGAGGATTAAATATGTATGAATATTTTTCACTTACAAAAATATATATGGTTTCTCTTAGGCTTTTTTTTTTGTTTTTGTTTGTTTGTCTTTTATCATGCTATGCTTTAGGTGTTTTTATTTTATTTTATATTTTGGATAGAGATGTGTTTTTTGTGCAGGAAACATTTTTCTTTCCTCCTGATTTTACCATGAGAAAAATGGCAGCATCAATATAAAGAATGAAAATTGGCAGCCGCCACAGTACTTAGAGTTAGGACACCACAGGGAACGCTTGATGTATTGGCAACCTAAAAAGCACATGCCCTGTGGCTGTGTGGAAAGAACGATCCGCTGCAGTCAAATTTTCCAATTTTTAAAAGGGAGTCTCTGATCCTGAAGTTTTGCAATTAAATTAAAAATCTAAAGATTACCAATCAGTCATATATGTGTGTATTCATGTGTGTGTGAATGTGTGTGCATGTGTGCATGCATGTGTGTGTATGCGTGTGTGTGCGCATGTGTGTGCATGTGTGTGCATGTGTGTATGCGTGTGTGTGTGCGTGTGCGTGTGTGCGTGCGTGTGTGTGTGTGTGTGTGTGTGTGTGTGTGTGTGTGATTGTTACTTAAGGTCCTCATTGTGAAAGACGGGAGCAGTCAGTGACAGGGGAGGGAAGACCAGGCCAAAGGCTCAGCAATAATCTCATAGAGAGATGATAGTAACACCGGCACTAAAAGGAGTAGGGGAACGAAAGGAAGAAGCACACGAATTTGAAATATCTTATTTCAGAAGCAGAACTAATACAATTGACTGATTACATGCAGAGGCAAAGGAAAAGAAGGCTTTTAAATGACAACGAGGTTTTTGGCTTGAGCATCTGGAAAGCTGGTGATTCATCTTACCATTCCCGGGAACATTGAAGGGAAGCTGATTGAGAGCCAGGGGAAACAACTAGTATTTGTTTTGGTCATGCTAAATTTTACAGTCATATCTGCTGTATAAT